TGTCAAGCCACGTCCAGTGTATCGCCCGTGGACGCGTGTCACTAGCCGTTTGAAGGGAGCCGTTGGCGCCCAACGGCTACCACTGTAGCTCAGCGTCTGGTCATCGACCGGACTCGTATGTGCCTAGCGTTCGGTCATGAATAGAGAGCTCCTAGAGGTTCTCAATGTTAACCGAACGCATCCGGTCCCTTTGACTAGACTCTCCGAGCGTCCGAAGAATTATTTTACCAAACAAAGAGTAGCCAAAACCGCACCGGACGCATCCGGTCGACCTGCCTTTGTTTGCTTGACGATGAACAACAACGCAGGCGCATCCGGTCGTACCCCGCGCCAGCATCCAGTGCAGTCAGTGAAGTTGGCCACACCTAGGGTTAGGTACCGGACACGTCCGGTGCCCACGGCACCAGCGTTAGGTCAAGTTCAGAGAACCCCTTCACTTCTTTTCATCCCTTGTGCAAATGTGTTAACTCCACCAAGTTTCCAACACTTGTGTACGTTAGTTAGCATTTCACACAGATGTGTTTCTAAGGGATGTTAGCACTCACTAGGTCCTAATGCAAATACATGGAGTTAATTCACCTAGTGGCACTTAGATAGCCATATTTACTTTGAGATCACCCCTCTTAATAGTACGGCTATCTATCCTAAACCCAGCCACACCCTCTATGGTGTCTTGATTGGCAAAACAAAAATGGCCCTATCATATACCTTTGCCTTGAGCCCATTTTTGTTTTTCTCTTTCTTTATTTCCAAGTTGGAGCACTTGATCCATCTTTTGTCCATCTCCATCACCATGGACACCATCGTCTAGCTCCACCACTTGGTGTGTACCAACCTATCTCATATATACTTAGAGCCAAAAGTTAGTACACTAACGTTTCATCAATTATCCAAAACCAAACAAAGGCTATCAGCTTCGCCAGGGAATAAGCCTAAGAACCCCCCACAAGATCACTGGGAATGGCCACGAACAATCACCAACTCATGCCAAAGCTCCTCCGCTGCTCCAAGCCATCTAGGTGGCGGCAACCACCAAGAGCAACAAGCAATCCCGCAGCTCACACGATCTCTAGTGCCATTAGATGCTCAAACTCTAAACAAATGCACTAAGATCACTCCCAATCTTAACTTGGATGAACAAATCAAAGGCTAGATGAGTGGAAGGTGTTAGAGTATGCTCACAAGGTGTATCAATCAGTTAGAGGGCTAAGAGAGAGAGAGAGCAAGAGCCGGCTAACACGTTTTTGTAGAGCCCCCAAGGCTCAAAGAGCCATTGCCAACTCACCCAAACTTTCTGCGTTCACATCGAACGCTCCACAGGGGGCATCGGACGCTAACCCACAGCGCTCGGTGTATCGCCTGTGGGACACGTGTCACTAGCCGTTTGAAAGGAGCCGTTGGCGCCCAATGGCTACCTCTGTACCTCAACGTCTGATGCTCATCGGACTCGCCGTTGCCCAGCGTCTGGTGCAACACAGAGAGCATCTAGAGAGCTCCTAAGGGCATCGGACGTGTCCGATCAACCCTCATCGGATGCTAGCTAGCGTCCGATGTTCCTGCGTCAACGCGGTCACCTTGATGAACTGTGCAACAATCATGTCCGGTCATCCTACGCTAGCGTCTGATGCCAACATCCGAAGAATTATTTCGAGACAGAGTCAAACAGAGAGTGCCCAAAACACATCGGACGCTAAACCCCAGCGTTCGATGCCTCACACAGTAGTGTCCGATGCTCTCTGTTGTGCTAGGCAGAGTTAGGGTTAGCCATCGGACTCGGACACACAGCATCCGGTGCATTCGCAGTCAGTGCCCGATGCAGCCTGAGCACCACCAATTCTTCCAACACTTCAACCCTCGTGCAAATGTGTTAACTCCACCAAGTTTCATCACTTGTGTACGTGAGTTAGCATTTCACAAACATGTTTTTCAAGGGTTGTTAGCACACACTAGGTTCTAATGCAAGTGTATGGAGTCAATTCATCTAGTGGCACTAGATAACCGTATTAACCATGAGATCACCCCTCTTAATCGTACATCTATCTATCCTAAACCCAATCACATCCTCTACGGTGTCTTGATTGGCAAATCAAAAATGACCCTATCAATTATACCTTTACCTTAAGCCTATTTTTATTTTTTTCTTTCTTCCTTTTCAAGTTGGAGCACTTGATTTATCTTTTGGCCACATCTGTCACCATGAGTGATCTCACATGATACTTAGAGCCAAATGTTAGTACACTAAGGTTTCATCAGTTGTCCAAAATCAAACTAGGGTTTTCATCGTTTTATATTTAAATTTTATTATAAGGAAAAATATAGAAAAAGGATTTAAATTTTGAGAAAAAAATAGAGATAGATTTTAGGACTTGATAACTGAAGTAAAATATTTAGAGTGCATGAAAATAGCTCTAGAAGCTTCAAATTTTATATTTAACTATAAAAAACAAAATGTCAAAAAGACTTGAAAATTTTCAAAATAGTTTAATCGATGTATAAATGTGTTTTTAAAACACTCTTCCTTCTGAGTTCGGATCGAAGTTCCGTCTCCCTCACTATGGAGCCTTATTCATTGACTTACCTTCTCTAAGTCACAACGTAACATACCTCCTTGTATCTACCGTCAGGGGCGGAGCTAGGCCCTTTTATGGGGGTCGGCAGACCCCAATGAATTTTGGCAAATGCAATAGAATGTCACTGTTCTGCACTGCGAGTAAACATTAATGACCCCAGCTTATAATATTGAAGACCCCGGCGATTCATTCGGCTAGCTTCGCCACTGTCTACCGTCCAACATGAATCTAAGGACTGAGAATGGTCGCAGGTGATCTAGATCCAGCCTCCAAGGACTTACTTCTTCAGCACACGGGAGCCTCCCTGCCAAAGCACGCGGAAGGACGTGTTTTCCCGTAGCCGTGCCACTCCGCTCTCCCGCCGTCGGGGCCCTTTCGCGTCGCTCCACTCTCCTGCTGCCACAGCTCTTCCGCGCTGCGCTGCTCCCGTCTCCGCCGTAGAAGCTCTCGCGCGTCATGCCACGCCACGCTAGACCTCAGGCGCCGCCCTGGCCCAGCCATCCCGCGACGTGCCTCGTTGCCCTCCCGAGCCGTGCTGCCCCGAGCAGCTCGACACTGGTGGAGGTGCTCTCCGGTGCCGCGCCGCCCCCGCCAAGGAGAGGAGAAGGTCGAACTCGTGCTGCAGCTTGGGCACCATCGTGGAGGGTTCAGAGGTCAGCCTTGCTTTGTCAGTAAGCTTCTCATATTTCGATGACCTTCACAATTTAAATTTCAGTCGAACAATGCTTATGAATTTCAGATTCGGGGAAGCAATTTTAGGTAAAATTGTTCGATTTAGTGATAGGATTATCATCTGCTATAGTTTTTTATGCAGATAATATTTTCATACATACTGTTATGGTATTGTTTGGGTTACAAAATTTGTTAATGTTTGGATTCCAGAACACAACTTTTGTGCAATTGTGAGTGTTGTGGAAAGGAATGGCAGAATTCATTCAGGAGATACCAGAAGTTGGTTCTAGGTTTAGAAATCCAGATGAGGCTTGGCAATATTGGGTGGAATATGGTGGTCGCATGGGCTTTGATGTGAGGAAAAGGTATACAAATGTGAGCAGCTATGATCGTAAGGTGACTTCATGCAGATATGTTTGTTCCAATGAGGGACTATCGAAGGAAAGGAGTAACAGACCATGTGACAAAGTGTTTTAGAGCTGAAACAAGAACTGAATGTTTCTTCTAGTGCCATGAATGAAAAATCATGTACTGACCACGAAAATGTTGAGCCAAATGTGCAACAAAGAGATGGCTTGCTTAGTGCGTACAATTGAAGAAAAAAGGACATTCAGTCCAAAAACTCGAGGCGAAAGAGAACTTGGATCGATAAGTTACACAAGGTGAGGCGCAAGTCGACTAAATCTTCTGTGCCAACAAGGAAGAAAGCAAAGGTGTGTTGAATCTACAATTTGAACATTTCTATATGTACTGCAATCTGGAAACTAAGTAGTTGACATCTCTATATGTTGCTGCAATCCTTAACTAATTATATGTGCTTCATTGGCAGCAGCAAAAAAAAAAAAAGGTGGTACAGAGCCTCAAGAAGTAGAACTGGAACATAATGGCAACAACAAAGAACTCGAGCTTCAAGAGTACACTGTTATTGGGAATTTTACCCAGCTCATAACAGCTCCAACTTTGGCAAATGTGGAGCTTCCCGATGTGTTCTAGCTTCTACAACTAGTTAGATAGTATTTTGGACAGGGTTGACTAGTATTTTGCGGGCTAACTATAGTATTTTGTGTAGTCTGGCACAATGCCAATCAATACACTTGTAAGTAGTAGATGGCTGCTTTTGATCACTTGATTAGCTATGCCCTTGTTGCTACTGTTAGTAAGCACCAAACAATGGCATAACTGAATTTCTCCAGTGGCTTGTTTCTCAACCGATGTCTAATATTTGGATAACCAGTACTCAGAACTTGCTTGTCAATTGAAGCCTAATATATTTGAATGATTTAGTGATACGCATGTGCTCTTTTGCTGGTGAAAATCTTCTAACATGTAGTGGATTGGCCACTGATTTGTGATGAGAAGCTAGAAAAATTATTGCTGTCAGAAGAATTTTGAGATGCATATAGACTGTAGCAGCTTGGCGCTTGTTAGCTGAACTCGAAATGATACAGAGATGCACATAAATTGAAGCCTACTGTTTTTTTTCTTGCTCACGTCTGCCTTGGTTGAGAAAAAGGCTAATGCCCTATTCGCTTGGCTGATAAGGCATGACTGAAAATATTGTTGGCTGATTTATCGTGAGAGAAAAATAATGTTCGTTGGCTGAAAAAGTATGGCTTATAAGCCAAACGAACAGGACGTAAGTTCTAGGCATTTGTTTGGGCAGCCGTTGGATGGGAAGTCTATGGTAGATGCAACAAGGAGGCAAGTTACGTGACTGGAGAAGGTCATTCAGATCCTCTGCAGTCGGCGTCGTCGACTTCAGTCTGCAGTCGACGAATCCGCGCCGTTGGCTGGCATCCGATGAACCATATTAGCCAGGCTACCACACGGGATGCTCGAGCACGATGTCTTCCCCGCCGCCGCTGCCGTCTTCCTCAGCGACTCGTTTCTTCCCCACGACTGCTGTCTTCCACTCTTCCTCGTTGCGCGTCCCAGAGCTGAATCTCTCCTACGACCCCGTGTATCCGGTTTCCTCCATTCCTTCTGCCTCGGCGCCCGGACGCCGTCGTCGTCCCAGGGCCAGGGGGCGTTCCTCGCCTCGTCTGCTGGCCGTGCGGCTGCCGCCGTGCCATGTTCGGGGCTTAGGCCCTGCTCGGTGATGAGATCGGCATCTCTTTGCTGACACGCACCTCCAAGTGCAGCCCCTGATGCTCGAGTTCTAGGTGGTTGTGCAGGAAGCTGCATCTCTGCGGTGAAATCTATTGTGCAAGAAAGCTTGCAGTTCCTTCTATGGCTGTTTGTGCAAGAAAGCTAAGCACAATTTCTAGCAATTTGTGTAAATTGTGATTGTAGTGCTAGCAATTTGTGCAAATTGTGATTGTATATGAAGCAGAAAAATTAGACCGATATGTTATTCTCTTGCTGGCAGTATCAAACTTCAGTCACAAAATGTGAAGCATTCATATGAGCTGCGCAAGACGTAAACAGGCTGAACTACCGTAGCGTTTGGTTCACGTAACTGTAACGTGATTTGATTACTGCAGATAACAGATTCCATTATTCAATGTTTGTTTCCGCACTCAGGAATCGAGTTCCGCCGTTAGCTTATACCGCACTATATAAAACCGATACATCTCCAACCTCAGCGTAATTAGATAACGATATGTTGCCTTCTCCCACAATTCCATTCCCTTTGCATTTCCGTTACCATTTCAGGAACGCCTTGTACACTTGAACCATATAACCAAATCTATTCTTCAAATCAGCCTAAACTACAGACTTTGCACTGGTCAGAGTATAATTCACACTAGGGTCCTTGTTTAGATTGCATTTTTTTTAATCTGGATCTGTAGCACGTTTCGTTTGTATTTGACAAATTTTATCCGATCATAGACTAACTATGCAAAAGATTCGTCTCGTGATTTACAACCAAACTGTGTAATTAGTTATTTTTTATATATTTAAAGATCATACATATATCCAAAAATTAATATAATGACAGAGAGAGTAAAAAAATTTAGAATTTTGAGGCAATCTTATTAAAAAAATAAGGCCTAGTATATGATAGCGTCACAGCTTGATAGGGTTGAATAATCACGTGTATAATATAACTGGGGATTTGCTCGCCCTGGCATCCAGATCTCATATGTGCTTCTGCACCGACAGTAGGATCTGCCGGCTCCCCCGCCCTGTCCAGCCGTTCTTCCCATCCAAACCCTAGCCACCGCCGCGTTTCCCTCCAGCCGGTCGACATGGAAGGCGCATGGATGGCCTCTCCCTCTAGTTCCAATCTCCCAACTTTGTGCCTTGGCGGCATGGCCGTCTTTACCTCCAGCTCAGGCTCCGCCTCCGCTCGGGACGCGGATACCGGTGCGAGCGCATTAGAGTTCGGGAAGGAGGCGGAGGCGGAGGCGGACCGCGGCCATATCTCCGCCTCGCAGGCGAACCTCCTCGCCCGCGCCCACTTCCTCGGCGGCGGCGGCGGCGTGGAGGAGGCGGAGGCGGACTGCGGCCATATCTCCGCCTCGCAGGCGAACATCCTCGCCCGTGCCCACTTCCTCGGCGGCGGCGGCGGCGGCGGCGCCGGCGAGGAGGAGGAGGAAGAGGTGTTCAGCACGCCGCCTCTCACACAGCAGGACCCACAGAGGCAGGGCCAAAGCCAGCGCGGCCAGGCGGGGGAGGGCGAGGACGGCATCGCCATGTGCTCCATGCCCTTCACCCAGACCCAGCCTTCCTCCCCTTCTTCCGCTTCCTCCTCTTCCTCGGATAGCCGGGAGCGGAAGCCGCGGAAGCCTAGGATCTGCACGAGGAAGGTGAGAGCCGGCGCCAAGATCAGGACTCCGACGCCGACGCCGAGCCCCAGCCCCAGCCCCGAACTCGACCCTCTCGTCAGGATCGTGCTCATGATCCCCACCGCTCCTCTTCCAACCACCGGTCATGAGGATATCCTCGAGCTTGCCCGCAGCCGCGGCATCTTCTGAGTTGCCTATGTCACGGTGAGTGAGTGAGTAAGTAGCCCCTTCTGTTCTGCCAATCAATCAATCAATCCATTTCATACGATAGTATTGTGTGATTGGTTTTTTTGCATTGTTCAGCAACTACATATAACTATCGTTTCGGTTAATGTTGCAAGTCATTGTATTTTGAGCATGTGGAAGTTACTATGCTTTGTTTGATTGGCACAAGAAAACTAGCTAGCCATGACTATCCATCATTCACTCTTTCCACTGATGCATTGTGATATTAGCGGTAGAGTAGCCTGTAATATTAGTGTTTTGCAATTTGGAATTCAGATGATACATACATATGTTTCTGGTTTGCTCACTTGCCCCCAAACCCACAAGTCTACCAATACTAGAAAGCAAGGCGTGGCCTTGCTGCGCCACAGCGTTTGTAGCAGGGCCAGTGTAATTGTGTATGGGTCAGAAAGATATTATGAGTCCAATCGGTGGAGGAGATAATATCTTTGCTGCGCCATGCAAATCATTTGCCTTCCATTTTTCCCATGTATCGTCTCTGCTTGTGTCGCTGTTCTACTCCAGCGCTGGTAGTTGTCGTGGTTCTGGCCCTTGTGCCCTTGCACCGCCGATCTCTCGGACGCGCACCTTGTATTGGAACAGTGTGAGGGTAACGGTCAGTCCTATGTTGCACCTGAATGTAAGAAGTAAGCCAGCAGCAGTAGGTGTCTGCTCCACATTTTTGTGTCTCAGATTCCCCTTCTGTTTTTATATGAAATCAGAGAAGAGCAACTAATAGTCCCTTTTTTTAATCAATTTTGGGCATGGAATTTTCTTTGTCCCCTTTTTTCCGTTATGTGTAGAACTAGTACCGCCAATTCAAGCCGTCATACTTCTCCTCGTATCTTGCGAAAAAACGTCTTGCGTAGCGTAGGGTGTGGCGTACGCCACTGACTTTCTGGTGTGCAGGATGCACTTCCCACATGATTGTACAGTAGGCGTTGGAGTCCTCATCTGTTGGTAGATGGAGGTGATCGCTTATGCGGAGCAACAGAAATGGCAGATACTATGTTCTCCCGCCTTGATAGATAGTTCAGCTAGAAAGCTCATTAGAAGTCGAATCAAACATTCAAACCTAAGGCCTTTATTATTCTGTTCAGTACTTGCTTACTACCTTTCTAGTTGATAGGGACAGGCCTTCGTCGGAGTTGAAATAAGAGAAGAATGAAGGCCTGAGCATCTCAGCGGTGGGATTGAATACCCGGATCAAATCAGAGTTCACGCCGCCCGGCCTGAAGGGTTTGGGGGTGAGCAAGCCCATGAACTGTACGCTAAATATCTTCTCTTTTCTTACTAGTGAGGTATTTCCTTTTTATGAGAGATAGAGTTTCATTTCGGGAATGGCCTCATCAGCTTCAACTTCTTCTACTTGCACTGTATTCACATCCACACCCTCTACAACTGGTTCACTAATGTCACCAACCTCAAACTCACCTTCTTCACTGCCTACCAACATGTGTACCTTGATTTTGTTTTACACTGATGCCCACTGCTTCTTCTTCCACAAAGATTATGTCGGGTATTAGGATTAGGGATACCTGGAAGAAGAAAGTTGATGGCCGACACCCCTGAACACCCTCCTCTCTCCGCACAGGTAAGACCCACGAGCTGGGATGAGGACGACTAGATGAGCGCACCCCGTCCACATGACCCAGGTGTGATGTGCACCTCACCGCTAGCCTCCAGCACGCCTGAAAGCTCTAGTTTGGTTTTGGTGAATTGATGAAACCCTAAGTGATAACCTAGTTTATCAAAGTGATTATGAGATATGTAGCACTACTCTAAGTTGTGAAGCAAATGAAGATCATGACATGATGATGGTCATGCCATGGTGATGATCAAGTGCTTGGACTTGGGAAAGAAGAAAGAGAAAACAAAAAGCTCAAGGCAAATGTGAAATTTATAGGAGCTTTTTGGTTTAAGTGATTGAGACATTTAGCTAGTGTGATCACATTTAGGATCGATAGTTATACTATTAAGGGGGTGAAACTCATATCGAAATGCGGTTATCAAAGTGTCACTAGATGCTCTAACTCATTGCATATGCATTTAGGATCTAGTGGAGTACTAACACCCTTGAAAACATTTGTGAAAATTTTCTAACACATGTGCATAAGGTGATACACTTGGTGGTTGGCACATTTGATCAAGGGTGGTGAAGTTTGGGGTCAAAAGGAGCTATTTCGTATTGATCGAACTCTGTCTTGGGCAGTGACCGGACTCTGACCCTACGTCCGGTCAGTGGTGCGCAGTGAAGGCCACCCTCGGTCCTTTGATCGAACGCTGAGAAGAAATAGGACTGGACGCACTAGAGGTGCGTCCGGTCATGGTGATGACGTACGCTGACGAAAGCATCTGAACAGGCCAGAAACGACCAGACTCTGGTCCGCGTCCGGTCGCCTACGATCGGACATGTCCGGTCAAGAAAAACTAATTCTGAAACCTTACTGGAAACGACCGGACTCTTGTGATGGAGCGTTCGGTCACTTTGAGCAGTGCGTCCGGTCGCAACTTAACACGTGGCGCGAAGCTGACTAGGAGTTAAGATTGGGCGCTCATCATTTTAGGCTGAGGACACGTGGCAAAAATCTAAGGACCAGACGCTAGGGTCCTGCGTCCGGTCAATCCGACCGGCGCGTCCGATCGTCCCGATTTTTCAGGGAACAGGGAGCCAACGATTCTATTTGTGGTGGCTCTCTATTTAAGTCCTATGGCCTGCTTAAGCTCACACTCTTAGCCATTTGCATTGACATAGCCACCTTGTGAGCTTAGCCAAATCCCTCTCACTCATCTCCATCATTGATTCATTATCTTTGTGGGATTAGGAGATAATCCAAGTGCATTGCTTGAGTAATTGTATCTAGAGGCACTTGGTGTTCGTGTTTCGCTACGGGATTCGCTTATTACTCTTGGTGGTTGCCGCCACCTAGACGGCTTGGAGCAGCGAGGATTGTCGAGCGGAGGTTGGTAATTGTCTCCGGCTCCGATCATGGTGATTGTGAGGGGTTCTTTATCTTTCCCCGGCAGAGAGCCAAAATGTACTCTAGTAAATTGCTCGTGGCTTGTGTGATCCTCATTTTGTGCTCGTTGTGCGGCATCCTATTGACGGTTTGACGTGTGATGTCAATTAGCGCGTGAACCTCCAAGTGAGTGAATCGCCACAACGAGGACTAGCTTGCCGGCAAGCAAGTGAATCTCGGTAAAAATCATTATGTCATCATTTGATTCCGAGGTGATTGGTCTTCATTGGTATTTATTCTTGTGATTGATTGGTTCATTCCTCGACTCGGTGGTATAACCATCTTGCTCTATCTTTTTACATTACCACAAACTAGTTGTCAAGCTCTTTAATGTAGCTAGTCGTGAGAGCTTGTTAGTTTATTAGTGTAGCTCTTTAATTAGCCTTCGAGAGCATACTAACTTAGTACAGTAACATAGTCATTGTGTGGATAGAGACTAGAAATTAGAATTGTGGTAGGTGGCTTGCTGTTTAGTAGGCTAACGCAACACTCGCTTCGTCTCAGATTTGTCTAACCGGTTTGCTAAGTGTTGTAGAAATTTTTAATAGGCTATTCACCCTTCTTTTGCCATTAGGACCTTTCAAGTGGTATCGGAGCCGTGGTCACCGTGATTTGAGGCTTAACAAACTTCGGTGTCAAAATGGCTTAAATCAACAACACCAAGAAGGCATCCCAATTTGATGGCTCAAACTACCCCTATTGAAAGGCTAAGATGATAACATATGTCAAGTCAATCAATAGAAAAGTTTGAAAAGTAGTGGAGACCAAGATTGAGATAGAAGATCCGGAGAATACCACCGTTGTCGAAGAATTGATTCTCCAATACAATGGCATTACTCTTAGTGCCATTCATGATGCCATTGATGAGAGAACATTTGAGCAAATCAAGAATATTGAGATGGCTCATGAAGCATGGAAGAAGTTGGATGAATCATTTGAGGACACTCAAGCCGTGAAGGGTGCCAAGACATATATCCTCGAGGAGAAGTTTGCTAGTTTCAAGATGAAAGATGATGAAAGTGTGTCGGAGATGTTTCATAGGTTACAAGTGCTTGCCAATGATCTCAAAGCACTTGGAGAAGAGGTGGAGGACAAGGACTTTTCCCATAAGTTCTTTGACATGCTTACCCTCAAGATTTGGCACATTGGTCACTATTCTAGTGAGAAGTGGTTTGGATACCATGACACTAAACCAAGTATTGAGAGATATAATGACTGATGATACATATAAAGATGATGATGTGAAGGAAGAAAAGAGAGAGAAGAAAGATGACAAGAATGATGACAAGAATAAGAGTGGCGTTCAAGGCCACATCATCCAAGGGCAAGGCAAAGTAAGAATCCTCAAGTGAAAATGAAGACTTGAGCTTTGATGAGATGGATGATGAGAAGATTGCTCTCTTTATCAATAGATTTGGCAAGTTCACGATGAAGAATGGCTACCGTGCTAGAAGAAAGGAGTCTTCATCCAAGAACAAGGAAGAATCAAGAAGGTGCTTCAATTGTGGAAGCAAAGATCATCTTGTTGCTCAATGCCCATACAATAGCGACAATAGTGATGACAACGAGAAGAACAAGAAGAAAGACAAAAAGGAAAAGAAAGAGAAGAAGGACAAGATGACCTTCAAGAAGAAGAAGGGTGGTTCATATGTAGTCACTTGGGATAGTGATGCTTCCTCAAGGGATGACGATGATAGTGAAGATGACAAGACCACCAAGAAGAAGGCACTTGCAAGCATTGCTATGAATGAGAAGCCTTTTCTCTTCGACATTAAATCATGCTTTATGGCTAAGGTAACTAAGGTACAAACTTGTGATGATGAAAGTGATGAGTAACATGATAATGAAAATAAACATAAAAGTGATAGTGACGATGATGAACTAACTAAGGATGAATTGCTTGGCATGCTAGATGACGCTAAAGAACACTTGGACATTAAGAGAAGGGAATGCAAAAGCTTACGTAAGGAACTAAAAGTCCTTAAGCAAGCCTTTGATGAGCTCAATGCATCTCATGAGAGGCTAGAGGAAACCCATGAGAAGCTTGGTAAGATTCACAAGAAGCTTGAAAACGCTCATTCCTCTTTGCTTAATGAACAAAATGAGAAGAAGCATGTTGAGGCATGTGATGTAGGCTTAACTTATGATATAATTGATGAATTATTTTATAAGCCTATCATTGTTGTTCCCACTAACCCTCCTTATAGCACTTCTACTTTCACCTCATCCAGTAGTGACGATTTCACATGTGATGTCCCACTAATGGTTGAGAATGAGACCCTCAAGACGGAGGTTAATGAGCTCACTCACATCTTGGCTAAGATCTATGGTGGTAAGGACCGCTTGCTTATGTGCTTGGGTAGCCATAGAGCTTCTCTCTACAAAGAGGGATTGGACTATACCCCCAAGAAAGATAAGGCGGCCTTTGCTCCTCATAAGATTAGTTTTATTAAGAACAATGGTCGGTTTTGCACTAGTTGCAAGTAAATTGGTCATAAAGAGCATGAGTGCAAGAGCAAGAGCAAAAATGCTAATGTATCCTCAATTAAGATTGATTCTTTCTATATGTTTACAAATGGTACAAATAGTGTGATTATGAGATATGTAGCACTACTCCAAGTGGTGAAGCAAATGAAGATCATGACATGATGATGGTCATGCCATGGTGATGAAAGTGCTTGGACTTGGGAAAGAAGAAAGAGAAAAACAAAAAACTCAAGGCAAAGTTAAAATTTATAGGAGCTTTTTGGTTTAAGTGATCGAGACACTTAGCTAGTGTGATTACATTTAGGATCGATAGTTGTACTATTAAGGGGTGAAACTCATATCGAAATACGGTTATCAAAGTGCCACTAGATGCTCTCACTCATTGCATATGCATTTAGGATCTAGTGGAGTATTAACACCCTTGAAAACATTTGTAAAAATATGCTAACACATGTGCACAAGGTGATACACTTGGTGGTTGGCACATTTGATCAAGGGTGGTGAAGTTTGGGGTCAAAAGGAGCTATTTCGTATTGATCGGATTCTGCCTTGGGTAGCGATCGGACTCTGACCCTGCGTCCGGTCAGTGGTGCGTAGTGAAGGCCACCCTCGGTCCTTTGATCGGATGCTGAGAAGAAATAGGACTGGACGCGCTGGGGGTGTGTTCGGTCAGGTGATGACGTACGCTGACGAAAGCATCTGAACAGGCCAGAAACGATCGGACTCTGGTCCGCGTCCGGTCGTCTATGATCGGACGCGTCCGGTCAAGAAAAAACGGTTCGGGAACCTTACTGGAAACGACCGGATTCTTGTGATGGAGAGTCCGGTCACTTTGAGCAGTGCGTCCGGTCGCAACTTAACACGTGGCGCGAAGTTGACTAGCCGTTAAGATCGGGCGCTCTGCATTTGAGGCTGAGGACACGTGGCGAAAATCTGTGGACCAGACGCTGGGGTCCTGCGTCCGGTCAATCCGACCGGCGCATCCGGTCGCCCCGATTTTTCAAGGAAAAGAGAGCCAACGGCTCTATTCGTGGGGGCTCTCTATTTAAGCTCCATGGCCGACTCAAGCTCACATTCTTGGCCATTTGCATTGACATAGCAACCTTATGAGCTTAGTCAAAGCCCTCCCACTTATCTTCATCATTGATTCATCATCTTTGTGAGATTGGGAGATAATCCAAGTGCATTGCTTGAGTAATTGCATCAAAGGCACTTGGTGTTCGTGTTTCGCTGCGGGATTCGTTTGTTACTCTTGGTAGTTGCCGCCACCTAGACGGCTTAGAGCAGCGAGGATCGTCGAGCGTAGGTTGGTGATTGTCTCCGGCTCCGATCGTGGTGATTGTGAGGAGTTCTTGACCTTTTTCCGGCAGAGAGCCAAAATGTACTCTAGTAAATAGCTCGTGGCTTGTGTGATCCTCATCTTGTGTTGGTTGTGCGGCACCCTATTGAGGGTTTGGCGTGTGATGCCAATTAGCGCGTGAACCTCCAAGTGAGTGAATCGCTACAACGAGGACTAGCTTGCCGGCAAGCAAGTGAACCTCGGTAAAAATCATGGTGTCATCATTTGATTTCGAGGTGATTGGTCTTCATTGGTATTCATTCTTGTGATTGATTGGTTCATTCCTCGACTCGGCGGTATGACCATCTTGCTCTCTCTTTTTATATTATCCGTAAACTAGTTGTCAAGCTCTTAAGTGTAGCTAGTCGTGAGAGCTTGTTAGTTTGGTTAGTGTGGCTCTTTAGTTAGCATTTGAGAGCACACTAACTTAGTATAGTAACATAGCCATTGTGTGGATAGAGACTATAGAAACTAGAATTGTGGTAGGTGGCTTGCTTTTTAGTAGGCTAGCGCAACACTCATTTCGCCTCATATTTGTCTAACCGGTTTGCTAAGTGTTGTTATAGAAATTTTTAATAGGCTATTCACCCCCTTCTAGTCATTAGGACCTTTCAACGCCCCACCTATAGGCCCTGGCTTGACGTGCCCCATCCCCCGGCGCCTACACCCGGGCCATGCCCCATAACTCTCTACCTTTGAAGTATAAAACACTTGGATGCAACATACGTCTGAAGCAGAAAAAATATTTAGAACATACACTTGAAACATGTGTGTGAAACATATGCAATATCTAGATAAAACACTTTTAACTTGCAACATAAAACATTTATTGCAACAAACGGCTGAAACATTTCTAACATACTCTTGCGACATATATGTGTGAAACATATGCAACATCCAAATCGAAATGCTCGTAACATATGTCTGAAACAGATGAAACACTTCGAACAAAAGATTGCAACATGCCTTTGAAACACTTGCAACATGCCTCTGAAACATCCTGATCTACTTTTGCAACATCCATATCAAACACTTGCAACATATCTCTGAAACATCTGAAACACTTCAAATACATTTGCAATGTAGGGGGAGGGGGCCGAGGCCGGTCGATTCTGGCCTCGGGGTGGGAGCCGGTAGCGTGCGAGCACAACCTGGGCGACGCGCGTGGGAGGGAGCGGCCCAACCAATAGAGGTGGATGCGCACGATGGGTAGGAGAGAGGAGAGAGCGGCGTAGGCTGGGCGCGTGCGACATCAGCACCCTCACCAGCAGAGGCGGGCACGCTGTAGAAGGCCGCGGCGGGGCGGAGGCACGATGGAGAGCGACGAAGGCGGGCGGCCACACTCGCGCGCGGTGGAGAGAAAGGATGGCAGCCGGCCAGGCGCGGTGGAGAGAGCCGTGGTGGAGCACGCCGCGATGGTGCGGTCGCGGTGCTAGGGGCGCGGTGGAATGGGTGCAGGCGCTGCGGGGAAGCACGAGGAAAGGGAAAGTGAGCAGAGCATTCGGTAATTTTTTTAGCAACACGGTGCTGAATTCGTTGGTATGTTCGGTAGGCGTAGCGACCCACCAACAGCGGCGTATGACGCATTCCTATCGGATCGGCTCTGACCCAGCATTACCATTGATTATACTTGATTATATAGCACCATCACCTTTGTAGAGGCGTTTGTTTAATCCTACTGGTTTGTGAAGTTTGGACATCGCATTTGAGATGCCTATTGGACCAGCGTGTGCAAATCTTGCGATCACCGCAAGCACATGCGACTCAAGCGTACTTATTTTCCAAAATGGTCTTACACGTACTAGTACCATAAAATTCAGATCGTTCTGTACATATACAATTTGTCGCTCTGATTACCTGAACACAAGCTTAGAAATGAAGACAAGGTACAACGGGAGTTCTCCGTTTCTATGCTTTTTGTCCTCCTATGCTTACAGCAATATATATAAAAATCCAACGATCAGATTCCAGAAATACATATATGGACGACTATTACCATTGGATGCCACTATGACTCTACATCTCAAAGGTCAAGGGCATCTCCCGTACAGTTGCACAGGAAGGAAAACTGTAGCGTATCTATGCCGATCTGCAATTCGCTGGCGTCGGTGCTGGCGGCAAACGAATGTAACCAGCAGCATCACCAGACCTCACGAGGCAGGCAACACACTTTTTTTTTTTTTGTTGCTTTCCATTTCCGCCCTGTTCGTTTGAACTTAATAGTCGACTTATCAGCTAGAATCTATATTATTTTTCTCTCACAACAAAAACAGCAGGTTTAGCCGGCTTATCATTATATATCAGCCGAACAGTTCATTTTTGCTGATCTATTTCTGACACAACACACACTTCACCGCTCCCTTGATTCGGAGGACAACGCCCTGGGCGCAACAAAGCTGAAAGGACGACACGTGGAATTGGAAATGGCTTCTGCCTGCGCACCACCTCGTCGTCGTTCCTACGACGAGCCGGCGGCACACACCGACAGCATCCGCTTGGCCTCCTCCCCACCGACCCCGCGCCTCAGCTTGGCCAGCCTGCACGACTGCGACTTGATGAGCCTGTGCAGCGACGGGTGCTCGCTGGGCACGACGGAGAAGTCGTCGTGGAACTCCTCCATGTCCTCCACGGCGAGCTGCCACACGAAGGCGCCGGCGCCGGCGCCGGCGCGGACGGCCGACCTGTAGACGATGTCGTAGACGGCCTTGTAGAAGACGTCGCGGTGGGAGTGGTCGAAGCCCTTGGCGCGGTGCGAGAGGCCGAACTCGGTGGTGAGCACCGGCTTGCCCAGCTCCCTGTCCCCGTCCTCGATGTGGGACGCGACCCACCGCTTCACGAACTTGAGCTTCTCGTCTACCGTCGCGTGCTGCTGCTGCAGCCTGCACGTACGCGCGCGGACACGATCCATCCATCACTCTCACGGGGACTGACAATAAGGTGAAAGAAATGCTGTCTTTTTTCGGATTGGGATGGTTACCAGGTGTCAGGGTAGAGGTGGATGGAAGCGAAGTCGATGTCTGGGATCTTGGCGTTGCGGTTGAAGTCCGAGCCGTAGTTGTTGTCCTTCCAAATGCCCGGATTGACGTTCAGCTTCTCCTGGGGGCTCGTCGGCCCGTAGAACCCCTCGGTGCCGACGGTGAGCAGATGCTTCTTGTCAATGGACTTGACGTACGCCGCCATCTCCTCCATCCAGCGCTGTACGAGTAATTCATTTCCACCAATGCATTATGACGAAGAAATGGGCCACGGTCACCGACGCAATCAGTGGAAACTATATTGACGCCGGACGCGGGTCATGGCTCACCTGCAGCGTGTCGCCGGATGGGTCCGTGGTGCAGCGGGGCTCGTTCATCAGCTCCCACGCGAGGATGGTGGGGTCGTCCCTGTACTCCACCCCTGTCAAGTGGTTCTTCCTCGTCAGCAGCGTCTGCACCCCCAAAAAAAAGCGTCAAGGGTGGGTTAATTTGGCCGGTGAAACCGGTGACCGACACTGCTGCGCCCGTGGTGAAACCGGTGACCGACACTACAGTACATATATATAGTACTACAGTAATACACTGCAGTGCCTGTCACAGTAAACTAATTCCCCGAGCTGGCGAGATTAATGGGATTATTACTAGGAAAGAACCAGCTGAGGCTGAGCTGACCTTGAGGTAGACTTTGAAGTAGTCGCGGATGGCCGGGTCGAAGAAGAAGGAATCGTTGGAGGCGGAGGTGCCGACGCCCTCCTCCCACGCCCACCGCACGTACTGCGTCTTCCCACCGTACGCCTCCAGGTTGTTCGCCAGGCTGAGGATGAGCCGCACCCCGTGCCGCCCGGCCTCCACGACCACCCGGTCCAGCGCCTGATGCGGTCCATTAGTTAGCACCTCAGAAAAAGCGCGGCATTTCCGGCTAAAATTAACGGGGGGCAGCTGCACTGCAGTAATGAGATTTCCTAATTTTTGTTTACCTTGAAGACGCGCTCGTCGAAGTGGCCGGGGGAGACCTGGAGGGCGTTGTAGGCGCCGTCGTTGAACGCCCAGGAGCGGCAGACGGTGAGGCCCATCTCGGCGCCGGTGCGGAACATGCGGGAGACGCGGTCCCGGGACCTCGGCTCCACGGCCTGGTCCATGAGCCAGTAGGAGTTCCACCCGTTGGCGTAGAACGGCCGGCCGTCCAGGAACAGCTGCGCGCCGCGCCGCTCCACGAAGGGCGCCGCCACGGCGGCCGCGCGGGAGGAGGGGGAGGAGGAGGAGGGCTTGGAGATGGAGAAGGGCATGGACGGGAGGGAGATTTGGCGGAGGTCCACCTCGCCGAAGGTGAAGTAGAGCAGCGCCACGCAGGTGGCCACGCCGAGGACGTGGTACAGGGCCAGGCCGCTGCCCACCGCCATTGCTGCCGGTGCGTCGGTGGGGTGGGTTCTCGGGGGAGCTTGAGGAGGCTATGGGGTGACCATGCGGGGGTGGGGTGGGAGTGGGATACTCCCCAGATGTTCCAGAAGGTGGAGTGGAGCGGCAGGAGGCAGGAGCTGAGGACAGTGGAGTGGGAGGAGGAGAAGAGGAGGCGCAGGAGCTGAGGACTGTGAAGGAGTACTGCTGAAGTAGGAGGAGCTGGCAGCGGACAACGGGACAAGGGGGGGTGCCTCGGCTCTGCGTTGGGCGTCGGCGCTAGTTGATAGAAAATACTCACTGTTACTCTGTGACTCTGTGGGGGCGTGCAGCGGGGCATGCGCAGCTGAAGACCGGGATTTTTTTTTCTTCTATCTAGGACTTCCAGGTCCAGGGACCGGAGTGGCAATGGTGTTTTTTATCCTACGAAAACGTCGGCCACGGCCAGAGACTCGAGTACTCGAGTGGTTGTGGGATGCATCTTTAATTCTTTAATAAGGATCAGATACGAATTGCCGTGATTTGCCATTTATTGTTCTTGATATAGGGTTTCCGCACCGCATGTACACTACGTAAGAGCAAGACCAAAAACCAATAATATAGTCAATAATATAGCTAAGTGTTTGGCTATTAGTTAAATTATAAGAGTCAAGATATATAATAATAGCCTTTTATTCGTCTATAACAAACTTTTTTATTGTTACTTTTATCTTTGTTTCACCTTTTCTTTCCTAATTCTCCTCACATTCACTTAATGTATGGTCCACCTCCGTGCCGTTGCTCGGATGAGAGCCAAACTCTCTCTCTCCTTTCTTTTTTCCTCCACATCAGCACTTGCTTCCTCTAACAGTGTCGGTGGTGCAGTAATATATTTTCTGTGTCAGCTTGCACGAGTGACGCGGATGTATATGTGGGAAAAGAAAATCCTAATTTGTATGTTGTTTTACGAAATTTGCTCATACATGTATTTAAAAGAAAAATAGAAAATTGTGCATAAGTGAACTCTATCTATGTAATTTTCTTTTTTTACAAACGACTATACGAGGGGAAGGAAACAGCAGAGGAAAGTTGCCACAACAGTTCACATGATTCCTTGAGATCTCAGGCAGACAGCCGCACCGCCCCTAAGGGCAGGCAGGTAAAGGACACAGAAGCTCCGTTCTTTTGCTGAAAAAATAAGCTGAAACAACACTTTTGGTTGATTGGTTGGGAGAGAAAAACAATATTCCAGCTAAAAAGACAAGCCGAAAAGTACAGATTATAAGAGAAGCGAACAGAGTCAGAGCCCACATGCTTAGGTACTACTAGTCGCCACTTAACCAACACGGCGCCACAAATGCATGGCCTGTTTGCATGTGTTACGCGCCAGAAAAAGAATAGTGTTTTTCTTTTATAATAAATTAATCAACGAGTAGTTTTAGTCACGGTTTTTCGGGCGAAGTTTGGCGAAGTGAACAAGACCTTGACCCTTTGCCCCTAGATCTCTCCTTGTCCCGCCATCGTCAGACCAACTCCATGACAAAATGAATGGGCATAAACAATGGGAGATCTCAGAGAAATCAAATCATACTGCCGTAATTGCATTCTTCTACTTAATTCAAGGATCATTAAACTTAAAAACTAAAAGTCAAAATACTTGGTGGAGGTGCCAAATCTTTGTCTCCAGAGACGGACCCAAAAGCCTAGCGTCGTGTTCGTTTGGCTTATAAGCTATATTTTTTAGTCAACTAATAATAGTTTTTTTTTCACAATAAATAAATCAACAGTATTTTCAGCCATAGCTTATCAACCAAAGTAAACAGGGCACTAAACTCAGCATGCGAAATGTAGCACAAATCTAGGTAACCTGGGACCACCCTACTTTACCCTATGACCCTGAGGGTTCCTTGACGTTTATTGTTTTCAGAGAATGGTGATCTGGGACTACCCTACCTACTTGTCCGTTTATGCTAAAATTTAATTTATATTAAAATATGCTGAGAAAAAAGCATTGTTATATGATTGGAAGGTAGCTCCCGCTAACAGGGTTCCTCGATCTCGTTTGTTTGCGAACATTTTGCGATTCCCATTTTACTATTCGGGGCAATGCATTTACTGCGCTGTTAGCATCGAGTACGTACAGTACATGTTTTCTCAAGGAATAGCTGTAGTTTATCACGTGCAACAGTGAGCGGTGAGCCCATCTCTCGGTGTCGCCGACGCCTGTGGAAGCGAACAGTAAATTAGACATCCAGCGCAGTACACGCTGCACAAGGATAACAAACTCATTTAAGAATAAGAAGCCAAGCAAGCACTGTATTTCTTTTACTGGATGAAGCAATCAGTGTATAAAATACAGTCGCACGCCAGGGGTGCCAGGTTACAAAATGCAGGCAACAGTTACCCCGGCTTAATTACCAAACTAATGCGCGGTCACATACTTGATACATACCCCGGTTTCACGGTTTAGGTTTAACCTCGGGGGCTTGTTGACTTTTCTCCCCATATTCTCTTGGTGAAGACTGAAGAGAGGCTTGCTTACGCTGTCAGCTTCTGTTCACCTAGCTTATCGAAGCGACCGGGAATCGAAGCCCGATCTGCCTCCTGTTTGTGGGTTCGTTCCTTGAGATCAACTCAACTGCAGGTTGAGTGAGACGAAAGCACGTGCTGTACTTGCGATCTCAACTTGGTTGAATTAGGTCATCGATTAGATGACCGACAACCATTTCTCACTTCGGCGTTCGGCCCTCGTCTTCCAATCCGATCAGAATGGGCAGCCAGAGCCACCACCGTCAGAGAATCAGAAAAGCGCAGGAAATAAAAAGCAACCACCACCGGGATCTGATATTTCGGCCGGACTTGCCGCTGCCCGGAATCACAGGAGCGGCACGCGGAACGTGTACTCCGGCGTCCGCCGACAGCCCGTGCATGAGCTGAGCGGGATTGATGGCCGATTGGCCCCCACCGATGGCCACTGGGACGGCCGTGCCTCTGCGAGTGCGACCGGCCTTTGCGTTCGCGAGTCGCGGAATTTCTCTCGCTTTTTCGTGGAAGAAAAGAGCTAGTAGCGGCTAACCCTAGCCCGATAGCAGAACGGGGCGGGCCGGGGCGCCGCTCGTCACGCGGCGCGCACATGGAGGCAACGACGATAGCGGGACGCCTGCCGCGTTTGAGGAACACGCGGCGCAGAGTGGCATGCCGTGATTGGTCTCGTGGGACAGGGCCGTGGAACGTCGACTCCGGGCAGCGCACGGCGCCGGTGCGATTGGTGGCCTGGTGGGGTGCCCGCACTCGGCGAGGACGGCCAAATAGGCAAGCAGCGCGGTTTGCCAGGCCGCCAAGGTACATATATAGCTGAAAAAATATATACATTGGAGAGCCGTTTGGCACCGATTCATGCAAAATCTTCTTGGCTGGTGAAAACTAACTGGCACTTGGCCTGGAAACACTAAATGATATGGGTTTCAGAGCCTAACCGCTAAGACTATCACGCTTTGCGTCAATTTTCTCAAACCCTTTTTGCTTTTTCCGCACGAGCATTGCACACTGGATTTACAAGATGGTACAGTATGTGAGAATTGAGATCATGGCAACTGCCAACGCTCCGCATATATTTATGGCGCGTGGTGTCACATTCTCAAACTACACATGGTCGTTTGGGGAATGATGATCTCATCTTGCGCCCATGGTGAAACTCATACTGTAACTTTTTTTTTCTTCTCTGTGAAATGTAAATATCTCTGAAACATTTTGTTTTAATCTGATGGGACATTTCTTTTTCTTGGTAAGCGTTTTAGTGGGCCGTTGGGCCGATGTGACTGTCCGGGCTTTGGGCAGGCTTCCTAAAAGAGCTGCACTAAAAAAAGGGCTTCCTGAAAGAGATGCAGTGACCTGTGGGCCTGGATACAAAGTCGGTACATAGGCTTAGCTTTAATTTGTATGGGCCATGTGGCTGACCAGCGACGTGTATGGACCTTGTGGGCTTCATCATAACGCAGAGTTTCATGAAGCAGGATGCAAAGCCTCCATAGCCCATTTACTCATCTTGCTCCTAGAGGCCTGAATTCTAAGATGCTGAAAGGCCCCTAAAAAAATAAGGCAGACTACGGCTAGTGTGATTAGCGGTGGTCTCTTATTTTTGCCTAAACTATGTCATGGCACCCTTTTTTTAAACCCAATACAGACTTACATACTCACAACACACGCGCACACTCATCCACTCCTATGGATGCACGCATGTATACCCTAATCTTATGAGCAACTCCGAGAGACTGAGTAGACCGCCTCGCTATTGAGTGGCATATTGCTTGCCACTGAAACAATGGTGTCATTAAATTCTAAAATAAATTCAGAAAAATATGGACTTCGAGACCGAATAAAGACTTGATAAAACCTTAATGGACAGGTTTCACCATTAAGAACCTAACTAACTCAGTTCGCACATGTCGTGCCACTCTATACTGTTGGTAGAAAAATACCCTTTTTTTTCTTTTGCAGCTCACAATACAAGTAGATACTCATACATGTATGTGCACTCAGCCCTATAAATATAACCTCTACGAGCATGTTCCAAACTGCTAACTAATTACTCTCTCCGTCCCTAAATAACTGTCGTTTTTACTTTCTCAGAAACAACTTTGACTAAATATATAAAAAGTATTAATATTTATGGTACAAAATTAATATCATTAGATAGATCGATGAATCTATTTTCATAATAAATTTATTTAGAGATACAGATATTGTACGTATTTTCTATAAATCCAGTCAAACTTATGGCACAGAAACTAAAAGCGACAGTAATTTAAGAACGGAGGGAGTACTGAACACTCTTTCAGCGATTATTTGACTGTGGTGGTAGACAAAGGTCAGTGACCTTGGTTTCACCATGTAATGATAATCCTGATGAAAAGTGGAATGACGACGCGAATGCACCGGAATAAAATCGTTTAATTTAGCTCTATCTTAATTCGTCCCATAAGCATTATTAAGGGATGGCAAGAGAGTTATCCTGAGATAGCATGTTCGTTTGTTGGTTTTAGCCAGAGCTGTACAGTATTTTTCTCTTACAACAAACCAGCACCAGCCGAGCTTATCAGCCCAGAAACCAACCAGCATGCTGGTTGACTGATTGAAAAGTTTCCTCGGGCAAAAGTTAAAAATGCACCTACAATATATGCAACCTTTTGCCAACCTAATCTACTCGAAAGTGTTGTTAATTCCTGACGATGATGATTTGGCCTATAATACATTACCTGTTCCTTTCGCCGTAATTGTGCATCAAACCAGCACCGATTTTTTTTTTCCTGGCTTCCACCAGTCACACTGAAGTTTGGCTTGCCAAGGAAAGGGACTCACGGTGATTTGTAAATCAAGAGCCGTTGGTTTATTAATGTATTCACATCAATCTGCATATCCTACACACATTGACACATATATGTAATAGGCCTCGTTCGTTTCGTTGAAAAAATAAGTTAAAATATTATTTCGACTAATTTATTGTGAGAAAAATTACTATTTCGATTAAAAAAACAAGTTGAAAAATACGAATTATAACATCGCCATAATCATCCTTCCGCCGCGTAGCACTGGGTCGTTAGCCGACAGGTCTCGTCGCATCGATTCCCATCGTCCTACTCAGCTCGAATTGTTTAAGCACGGTGGTTATCGCTTTATTATCGATCTCATCTGCTCCGTGCGTTTGGTGGCGATCGAGCCGAGAAGGGTGTAGCTCAAGCTCCTCATTGTCACATGCTGTGGGCTGTGGCGATGTTATCGGAAGCCACGCCACACCGCCGAGTCGCCGACGCGCCCGACCCTACCACTCGAATTCCCATTGGCCGTTGCTGTTTTGGAAACGAGCCGTTCTGATCCCTCTCATGATTCATGCAGAGAATATAGAACCTTATGGGGATTTTTTTAAGAATCGTTTCTGGGACCTTCAGAAAAGACCCTGTGGCGGAGCAGGAATGGCTTGCCGGATCATTACTTGCTCATTTTTGTCATGGAGCTTTTATTTGTCGTTCATGAACCTTATCTTAGTGCTGACTACACCTGGCATGTAGCATGTACTGGCCATGCCATTGGTCAATCATTGTTTAGCTTCTAATTAGAATTAGAATGGTTCGTTCTCCACAAGTGGAGTACTATAGTATGGGATTATGCGATCGCCAAAACCCTGTCTTGTATTGCACTGTACATGCGCCTACCAAATTCCGATCCTGCCGTCCATCTCGTCCATAGCATGCCGGGTGAAAGAAACCATGGGCCTCCTCTTCCTCTCCTCTCCACTCTCGGTAGGCAATAGGCACAGATCAACGATCTGGTCCAAATAATTATCTTTTTTGTGTCACATGCATCACACATGCGCCTTGTTTGTTTGGGTTGGTTTGGTTTATAAGTCATGGCTGAAAGTACTGTTAACTGGTTTAGTGTAAAGAAAAATATTGTTCGTTGGCTGATAAATCATAGCTTATAAGCCAAATACGACCAAGCGAACAGGCTGATGAGTGGACGAGTGGTCGATGTTCAGCCTGTGGTCAGATTCTTCAGGCGTGAGAAAGGGATGCGTTTTTCACAATAGCTACCGATGTCAGCATTAGAACAAGTATAATAACAGGCTCTAAGCTGGCTAAATACTAAGGTGGAGAAGAGATGAGAGAGAGAGAGAGAGAAGTAGGCTGTAAACTTACAGCCGACTTAGATATAAGAACCAAGAGAACTTATGAGAGAGACACATGGATCATGTATTAATAATTAAGATCTTACTATTATATGGGTGGACTGACAGAAGACTAGAAAAAAAAACCTTGCAACTAGCAGTTAGCCACCTTGCTCTACCGACGCGGATGTTCCTAGGAGTACTCCGTACGCTCCTGCAACCACCGAGGCACCGGGCGGATATGCCGGCGGGTCGCCCTCTTCGGCTTATCTTATATCCGGCTTGTTCAGCTTCTTTTTTTTCAGTCGGAATAGTGTTTTTCTCTCACAATATTTCAGCCAAAACAGTGTTTTTCAGCCACTTTCAACCAAGTTTTAATAAGCCGAACGGGGCCCAGGATTCGAAGCAACATGCAGTTTTATCCAGGCTTGTGAGTGCAAGCCACGGACGGAAACTTCCGGGATTCGTGAGTTCCTGCCGTCCTGCGTCAGCAACTCTACTGGCAAGGCAGCAACCAAACCGCCAAGTAGCGCCACCACGCCGGTGACCGCAGCGCGAAGGTGCATCCAGGCCCTACTTTTTTATCTTTTTTTTTTTAGTTACAATAATATTTTTTTTCATAACAAATTAATCGGAACAATATTTCTATTTATTTTTTCCAGCGAAGCTATAAGGCCCGAGTTAGCGAGGACAGCGCGGAGGCGGGGACCCGTCGTGGAATCATTGGAGCCCCCAGGCCCCAGGCAAAGGGGATTAGGGGAACGAGGCCGCGAGAGGGAGTTGCTGGATCGCCTGACGTGGATCCGTGCTGTTACCGTGTCCCAGCCAACATCCAGGCCCCACTTGCGCGTCCCCAGTCGCCTCATCCGCATATCCCTGGGGCCCGCCTGGCGACCAGCTACCACTGCCCGGTCGCCACGTCCCCACGCTCCCGGTATATATACGAGCTCCTCTTCCCCAGCCACGGTCGACCGTCCGACGGAGAGCACCGTTGCTTGCGCACTAAAAGGTAAAAGCAAGGAGACCAAATCGCAGCACAAACACACACCATGGTGATGGAGGGGGCGACAGATGGTGAGATGAGCTTGTCGAACATGGTGCTGGGCTTCCTAGAAGATTTCGAGAGGGGCCAGCGACGGCCGGAGAACGACGAGGAGGAGGAGGAGGGCTCCGGCGGTGGCGGCGACACCGCCGAGAGCAAGGCCTTCTGGCAGACCCAACATTCCCAGCTGCACGTAAGTCCTCCATCCATTCGTTCTGTTTTGATTGCGTACGTGTTGGTCGAGATCGAGCGGATGTTCTTCTTGGTTAATTATTAGAAGACGAATTGAGGGATGCAAATTAATATGCGTGGATGTGGATGATACAGGAAGCTCTGGCCAAGATGAGCCCTGCCGAGAGCAGGATCCGCGCGGACACGGAGGAGGCCGTCAAGAGCATGCGCGCCGCGGCCTGCTCCTGCTCCTGCACGGGGCGACCCGCCGCCCGGGACTGCCGCCTGTGCATGCTCCGCCACGTCGCCGACCGGCTGCGCGACGCCGGCTACAACAGCGCGCTCTGCAAATCCAAGTGGACGCGCTCGCCGGACATCCCTTCAGGTAACTGCTTACGTCGCGTCGCGTCGTAATTGACCTCTCTAGCTTCATTCTACTGCAAACGCAACAGATCGACAGGAATGTCCAAATTACGGGACCTTTTAGTCAGGAGAAGATTCTTGTATGTGCAAAGCAAAGCAAAGCTTTTTCGCGTACATACATGCTGCAAATGGCTGACTTATTTTGTTGTTGTTTAGCTCCTAGCTTGTCCCATATCACATATAGGGATGTTTTTTTGGTTGGGCGAGGAGAATTATAGAAGCTAGCTAGCTAGTAGCATGCTGCCAGTAGCGCCTATCGGCTATCCTGTATAAACTCACATGGTTCACATGGACCTGGTCATCATCCTCCGATGACAGGCGCTTCCTAATTGATACTCCTACTAACGAAACAGCAAGGCAAATATCAGGAACGCGTCTCTTTGTCTCACGGTTCAGTGTTAGCGGCCAGCACTTGTTGCGTCCACATCAACCCTCTCCGACCCAGCGAATTACAACACGTTAGCGCCTAACATCCAAAAATATCTGAAACCTGATATTCGATGCCGAACACAATTTGGTTCGTTCGTTCTGCTTCACGAGTTTGTTTGGCTCGTCCGTTACATGCTGACGTGTTTCCGAAACGTGTGCAGGCGAGCACAGCTACGTGGAGGTTGCGGTGCAGACGAGGAGCGGCAAGGCGGTGCGCGTGGTGGTGGATCTCAGCTTCCGCGCCGAGTTCGAGGTGGCGCGCGCCAGCGCCGGGTACCGCGCGCTGGTGACCGCGCTGCCGGAGGTGTTCGTGGGGCGGGCCGACCGGCTGCGCGGCGTCGTCAAGGTCATGTGCACCGCGGCCAAGCAGTGCATGAAGGAGAACAACATGCACATGGGGCCCTGGAGGAAGCACAAGTACATGCAGGCCAAGTGGCTCGGCACGCCCGAACGGACGGCGGCGGCCGTGGCCGCGGCTGCTGCGGCGGGGGCGGTGGCCACGCCGGTGGTGGTGGTTCCGTCGGTGATGGTCGGCTCGCCAGAGAAGCAGATCACCAAGTTCAGGGCGTCCATGCTCACATTCGACTTTGGCCGGACCGCGGCTGCGGTGGAGCTCGCGTGATGGACACATCGCACATGACGTGTTTGGCAGACCCCGCTAGGGGAGTATATATATACTGCCGAGCTGCATTAGTAGTTCTATCTATACTTCTACTTCTATATAGAGTGTCAATGTACGGGAAGAAAGAAAAAATGTTTCTATAGAGTGCACCCCAGCCGGGTTTTAGGTTTTTGTCAGGATTCAGAAAGCAGATGTCGAAGGCCGAATTGGTAATCAATCGAGCTCGAGATGAGACAAGCTTGTGACACGTACTCCGATCGCGTCGCTGTAAGGGAGCTGCAAGCTCAAAGCTCATGAATTTTGTTTGAAACTGAAGAATGCCCCTATTGTATTGTAAGGGAATGTATGCAAGTTAGACTCACTTGCTGTAGTAAATATGAATAAGTAAGTTAAACAAAAAACAATTGCAGGCTCATAAAGGAACAACGTGCATTAGTGCATACATCAATGTGTGCCCCAAAGTCACATGAGTTCTTGATGTGACGATGTCAATCATTTCAAGCCCTTGAAGAAGCATTTTCAGCAACCTATGTATTCACATTTTGTGTATTGAAAGAGAACACTACCATGGTGAAGGTGAAGCAAAGCAATTGCTAGTTGTGCTAGTCTTTCTTTTCTTAAAAAAAAAACTATAGACAGGAAATAACTGAAATTACATGTTGTTGCCTATCGGATTAGCACGGTTTGGAAGGGAGAAGATACTGAATGGTGACTTGTTACAACACTACTCATGATGTGACTATGTTTGAGCTTTTGGACCCAATGAGCAAGCCAGTTCTTGTGATCACGAGTCTCCTGGCAGATCGAGCTTGGCATATTGTCGAGCGTTCCATCTCTGTCAAGAACAGTCTTAAACTTCTCCAGTATCTGAACTATTTGACAGAAGTCAGGCCTCTTCTCCGGATGCGAGGCCCAACATTGTTCAATTAGAAGTCGCACTGGTGCTGGGCAGCTAGTAGGAATTTTCGGCCTCACATTCTGAAAATTAGAAAGTATGCTCATCATTTGGATTTTCCAAAAGCATGAAGAGTCATGAGGCAAAATGTTTTTTTTAAGTGTATGAGACAAAATTCTATGTAGTACTTTTGAAACTTCACTATACAGTGTTGCTATTTAAAATGTCTCAACATATTGTTTCTTTAGCAACAATCTCTTAATTTTGATCAAGTCAGTGAATATATATTACCATGCAGGGAGGGAAGGAAATGGGCTTCAGGTTATTACCTTGTCAAAAACAGCAAAAGCTGCTTGAAATGGATTCAACTCTTCGTATTGTATCGTTCCAGAAAACATTTGCCACAAGATAAGGCCAAAGCTGTAGACATCGACTTTTCGACCGTATGCCTTATGTTTCATCATCTCTGGAGCCATCCATCTGAATGTCCCAGTGTCATTTGCCAGAGGGTCACAGTGCTCTTCTTCACAAGCTACTCCAAAATCAACAATCTTTGCAGAAAATTCTTCGTCGAATATGATGTTATCTGGCTTTACATCACGATGGACAACTCCCTGAGAGTGAATGTATGCCATGCCACGTGCGATGTCCAAGCTAATTGAGATAATCTTGTCCAGGGGAAGAGCTTTGTGATCCAACTTGTGCAAAAACGCTCCCAGAGAACCACCAGAAAGGAATTCAGTGATGACACAGAATGCTGGTGGACTGCTGCATGCTCCAACCAGCTACATAGAAAAAATGTGGATGGAGTGAGGAGACTCGTAAAATTGAGGGTCAATTTCAGTAACTACTCCGTGTCATGATAAAGGATGGGCTTTCATATCCTGAATTTCAGTATGCTTGCACTCAATTGAGGGTGAAGTCGTTAGTTACCTTGATGACATTAAGATGATTGAGGCGTGACAGAGTGGTGACCTCCGTGCTGAACTGCTTCTCAAGCTGGGCAGCCAGCTCTGCATCTTCCTCGTCATCAGGCTGTCTGATGAACTTGACAGCAACAGGCTGCTCGTTGTAGATTCCGTGGAACAACCGGCTGTGAGCCCCGGACGCAAATCTGTGCCCAATGAGCAGCTGGGAGCGATCGACGGACCATTTCCCGAGTACCTCCTTCACCCTCCCGTTGGCATGGCCTTCCTTCCTATGCTTCAGCTTGCCCGGTGCCCTCACCGGCGCCGGCGGAGTCCGCCAATCTTCCAGCCGGTCGGCGCCAAGTCGTACGCCTGCACGAGCGCGGCCCATCCGCTGGAGAGCTAGCGCGGCCCAGAACTGGAGCGACGAGCGAGCGCACGATTGCGACTCCGACAGCGGCGTCCAGGTACCGAGGTACTCTTATGTTTTCTTTTCTTTCCTTTCCTTTCTTATATGTAGGCAACTTTTTTCGATTCAGATTCCGACTCGACACGGAATCCAGGTAGGTAAGTTTTTCTTTTGTCTTTCTTATATTTCTTTTCCCTTTTACGTATGTTTTTCTTTTTTCTTTCTTTCTTGTATTTCTTTTCCTTCCAACTCCATCGAGGTACGTATGATTATTTATTCTTCTTTGTCTTTTATTAATCTTTCTTTTATTTCTTTTTTCGAATTATGGTTTTATTTGTTTTGTGTTTTTTTTCATTCTCTTTTCTTTGGATTTTTTTGTTCTTTTCATTTCGCTTATCCTTTTTATTTTTATTTTTATTTTTATTCTTCATTATTTTACTATAATAAATTATTTAAATTATTTGTTTTCTTTTTTATATTCTATTTTTTCTTGTATTATACTTATGGTGTTCTACAATATTTTTTCAGATGTTCATTTATTTTTTTAGTTTAGTTAAAATTGTATTTATGAGATGTTCATTGTATATTTGCTTATTATATTTTTGTAGTTGTTTACATTAAAATTTGGAAAAAAAAACGCGGGAACTCGAAGCTTTTAGGATTGTGTCGTCAAGTAATCGATTAGATGTGAATCGGTAACAGCTGATTTATATGTGATGTCAGAATCGGCTATTTTATAGATGACGTCAGCAGACAACGTTAATGGGCTATGCTTGAGTGGCGCCAGGAATATATGTTGGACTCTACAAAAAAAAATTAGGGTTCAGGTTATTATTAAGGTAAGAAGTTTTCTTTTATTCCAAGAATTGTAATGAGTCGTGTTTGAGTATGATTTATGTTTAGAATTCGGGTATAAATATTAGACCTTGATTATTGTAAAAAAAAGGACGAACATTCAATCAATATAATCTTTCTGGCTTTCGCCGTCGCATTAGGAATAGGAGTACTATAGATCTCGGCGAGTTCTTCAACAAACAGGGCTGCATCGACTGATCGACCTCTAGCTTGCTTGTGAGTACCGTCACAACTTGTATTATGCTCGTAAAGTTGCATCAGCTGATTGATCTTTTATGAGCCATAATATAAATTAGTTATTGATCTGTATTGTAGTTTATAAAGCTGCATCAGCTGATTGATCTCTTGCGAATCATAATATAGATCAAAGTTATCGATCTTGTATCAACATACTTTTTGGCACGCCCGGTGGGACCATAATCGTCATGGCGATTCAGAATAACAAGGACATTCTTATGGTACCTTATGAAGACTTTCCTGATGAGAATAAAGATATCATTGGTAAGGCTATAGAGCAATTTCAGAACAAGTGTTTATTGTGATACACCAAAACACGTGACAATAAAATTATTCAGAAATATCCACAGTTGAGAGTTTTGATGCATGGACAGTCAGATACAGACGAAGCTGATGATAGGTGTTTCTTTGTAGAAGCTGTCAATAAATCTGTTCATGATACAATGGTGAATCATAATACAGCTTTCTTAAATACATTCCACAAATACCATAAAGAAGATGTTTCATATATTTCTACTTGATCAGGTTGGACTGGCTTATTATAATATTCCACATCCGTCGACTCAGGGGACTAATCAAGCTGGTACTAGCCATCAAGAAGCAACACTAGCTAAGAGTGATGATGCCCAGGCAAATCAGAATTCGTCTGAGCAAATTCAACGTGCTACTACTAATCAAATGCAATATAATCCTAGATCATCAGCGCAGCATGTACAACAGTCGACAGGGCAAGTTCAGAATCAGATGGTTAATTTTGATACATCAGGTCAAATACCACCGTCGGCTCAAAAAATAGTACCATCGGTTCAAAGAATTCGTAGAGATTTAAATCCTAATGTTTTCAATCAGAGATTTCAAGCAGTAAATTAGCAAGGGGCTCGACAGATAGATATTCCCCAAGGATATCATTATGGTTTAGATTATAATACCATCAATATGATTCCAAATCCAGGATATCAAGACACTCAGAATTTTAATCTGCAGATGGGTCAGCAATTGCCAAGAAATTCAAACTCAAATGCTGATGAATTGTTGCTCAGAGTAACCGAAATGATAAAAAATCAGTTTGATTTAAAACCAAAAGGGCAGACCTTTTCATACAAACGTCCATATTTAGAGTGGTATGATTTAGTGGCCCTTCCTACGAATTACAGGCTTCTAGAATTTGCTAGGTTCATTGGTCAAGATAGCACAAGTACAATAGAACATGTCAGTCGATTCTTACTCAGTTGGGTGAAGCCTCTATTGAGGAAGCGCATCGAGTTCGTTTCTTCTCTTTGTCCCTGTTAGGACCAACTTTTACTTGGTTTTTATCACTAGCAGTTAATTCTATTGCCAATTGGAGTGATCTTGAAAAAAAATTTCATACATATTTCTACACTGGGACAGGGGAAAGAAAGATCACAGATCTAACAACTATAAAGTAAAGATCTAATGAATCAGGTGCTGAGTTCCTTCAGAGGTTCCAAGAAATAAGAAACTTATGATTTTCGTCGATTTTGACTAACGATCAGCTAGCTACGTTGGCCGTTCAAGAAATGTTGTCAACATGGAGAGAAAAGTTGTTTGGGTAAGAATTTGACAATTTAGGTCAATTGGCTCAACGGGTGGCAGCACTTAATAGCCAATTCTAGAATATGCGCAGAGATATCCGATTGTAGAAGAATGCTGCAATTGCTGAAGTTTATAATCTATATTTAGTCGATGATGATGAAGAAGAAGAGTAAATTGCCACAGTTGAATGGAATTGGGATAAAAAGATAGTAATGGTTCCAAATCCTTGGAGAAAAATAGTTGAAGAGAGTTGTGATTTTGATGTTACAAAAGTAGGCAAGCTTTTTAATTTCTTGCTTGAGAAAGGATAGATTAAACTACCTGCCAATCATGTTATATTACCTCCTAATCTGTTGAAGAATAAGAAGTTCTACAAGTACCATAACATGACTTCTCATACTACTAATGATTACATAATTTTCGGCAGCATATTAAGAGGGCTATTCAACAAGGGAAGCTTAAATTTGATACAGCTCGGAAAATGAAAGTTGAAAATAATCCTTTCTCAAATGATCAGAATATGGTTGATGCTAAGTTGTTCAAAGGGAAAGCTAAAGTTTTAACATCAGCTAGGGCAAGAGAAACTGGAACAATTGATCTAGAGATGCAAATATCGACTAACGAATATAGAGAAATTAAAAAGGCATCATGACCAACAAAAGAGTCGATATGAGCAGAAAGAAACGTCAAAAGATGGTGCGATGAGACCACGTGTTACATCTCGAATTCTGTTGAATAAATGGCAACGGCAGAAGGAGAAAGATTATCAACGTTGGTTAGAAGAGAAGGAATATCAACGTCAACAAAAAGAAAAGATGTATGAAAGAGAACGAGTTGATTTACATTGGGATTGCCCTTTCTTTAGACATTGTTGGAACGAAGGTTTGAGATTGCCTACTAGAAATAATTGCCCAGAATATAGCAAACAATATTGAGAGTTTAGGCAATCTCAAATCAACTGCCGGTCTATCCATGATCGAATTGAATATCAACATAATGATGTGGATCGATGCTTAAAAAACAGGAGCATTCATGATCGGCTTAAAAAGCGAGTTGTTGATCAAAACTGGGCCGATTATGAAGAAGAAGATGATAAATGGTATGTTTGGTAGGAAGGACAGTGATGTCCAAGAGATTTAATAAGAAGTCAGAAGAGAAGAGTACAATGCCTAAGGAGCAGAGAATTAAAACAGGCTCAGAAATCTGTATTGATTTCAGAGATTTGAACAAGGCTACATCGATGGATGGTTATCTGATGCTAATAGCCGATATGTTGGTAGATGCAGCGGTGGGGCATAAGGTAATTAGTTTTATGGATGGTAATGCAAGTTATAATCAATTTTTTATGGCTGAAGAAGACATAGCAAAAACAGCCTTTAGGTGCCCCAGCGCACTCGGTTTATTTGAATGGGTTATGATGACTTTTGGATTGAAGAATGGTGGTGCAACTTATCGGAGAGCAATGAATTATATTTTTCATAAGTTGATCGGCAAGATTGTTGAAATCTATATTGATGATGTGGTGGTGAAATCCAAAGGGTACAAGAATATCTGGCTGATCTGCGAGAGACTTTAGAGTGTACAAGAAAACATGGTTTAAAGATAAATCATAATAAATGTGTCTTTGGAGTGTCAGCTGGTCAATTTTGGGTTTTATGGTCCACGAGAGAGGAATTGAGATTGGTCAGAAAAGTATGAAAGCAATTGATGAGGCAGTACCTCCAACTAATAAAATAAAATTACAATCTCTGCTTAGTAAGATTAATTTCATCAGAAGAATTATTTTAAATTTGTCAGAAAGGATTCTACCGTTTTCTCCTTTATTGAAGTTGAAAAATAATCAAGAATTTAAATAGGGTGACGTACAACAACAAAAGCGTTTGAGGAGATAAAAGACTCTATGAAATCTCCACCTGTGTTGGTTCCTCCTCAATAAGGTAAGCCTTTTAAGTTGTATGTGTCGGCCAATAGCCAAACAATTGGATCGGTCTTGATGCAAGAGTTTGAAGGAAAGGAACGGGTTGTTTTCTATTTAAGTAGAAGACTTTTGGATCCAGAAACAAGACATTCTTCTATTAAAAAGTTATGCTTATGCTTATATTTCTCCAGCACTAAGTTACAACATTATTTATTATCGACTGAGTGTACAGTTATGTCTAAAGCTGATGTGATCAAACACATGTTATCAAAGTCAATATTAAATGGAAAAATAGGAAGGTGGATTCTTGCATTATCAGAATTTGATTTGAGGTATGAATTGGCTAAAGCAGTCAAAGGGCAAGTGATGGCCGATTTTATTACTCAACATCATAAACCAAGCATCGGCTATGTAAAAC